TTCGCCCTTTATGCCTTCACCCTCTTCACCCTCTTCACCCAGTTTTGGCTCCACAGACTTGTTGGGCACTCTCCACACCGTGCGCACTCCAACTCATCCATTTGCGGACACGTAGAACCACCGCGGCCTCCACCCCTTAATTGACGACGGCAACCCCGCTACCAGACCCTTTCCTGCCACTGCTTGCAAAGTCACCCAAGTTTCTTGCTGGCCCGAAGCCTTGTAGCATGCAAAAAACTCGTCCACCGTCATTTCAGCCCCCTCGTTCGCCTGCGGCTACGCGCTCGCACGGCCAGTAAGATCTTTCACGCGTTGGGCATCAGTTGGCCTGGAGCCACCTCCAACCGATCCAACACCTCCACTACTTTCCGAGGGAGTGGCAACCTCAAACCCCCCTTTAGCGTCTCATTGTACAGGGTGAATTCCCCCGACCTAGCATCGGATGCCCTCTCCGTTGATGCCGATAGTTTCAACTCTATTTCTGCAGGAATCTGGTATTTCTCGCGCATACCCTCCAACTCCTCCGCCGTAACGAACGACTTGTCGGCCTTCGTATGCCAGTGATCTGGCTCAACCTGGCTGATTGGCCTCGCAGCCACAATCATTATAGACGAACGAGGTCGCCCCGCCGGCTCCCCCTCGTTTCCCACTTGCCTCTCCGTCCTGTACTACTCCGCCAAATCTACCGCATCGTCGTCGCCCAATGGATCAACCCTTACGTTTGTTGCTTCCTCTTAGGCCATCTCTCTCGTGTGTCTAGGAATAGCTTCAGATGCTAGTGCGAGATAGTTCACGAAATGTTGCAATGGTGTATCACTCGACACGAAGGAGTTTACACTTGGAATATTTTGGTTGTTTGCAAATAGGTATGTAAAACGAATAATACCAAAAGCTCAAGGTTTGCCTATATTCCACGGGTCGCAATTAAATTTCGCCAGTTTGAAAATTTTTAAAAATCCACCAAAATTGTCTTTTCAACACCCTATATTGACCTATCGTTTCATTTCTTACTCAATACCTAACCTTCCCTATCATGGGATTCTGCCACGTGTACGTCCACGATCCACTGCCTCCTTCCCCTACCCTGTCTTTTCCACTTCAAATCACCACATGCCCTAACACCCCTCGAGCCCCGCGTACCGCCACTCGGTCACCTTTCGCAGTCGGCCCTCCTCACGGTCGGTCCCTCCACTCGGCCACCCTTCGCAGTCGGCCCTCCTTACGGTCGGTCCCTCCACTCGACCACCTTTCGCGGTCGGCCTTCCTTATGGCCGGTTACACCTCTCGGTCGGCCTTCACCCTATCGGTCTCTCACAACCCTCATGTTCTTCATTATTCCCTTCGTTGGACTAAAGCTGCACTTAGGAATGGGGGACTACTGACATGGGTAAGCCCATAAAGATTATAACCCACCATTTAAGGCCCAATACATAACTCCAATACTAAAGCCCAGTATTGCTGAAGCCCCACGTAGCAACAAAAACCAATGACATTAAGACACATGGCAAGAGAAGGGCAAGCCACATAAGCAGACAAAGATCTGCAAAGTTATTGCCACTGCACATCGCCATTAATGAAGCCCCTTACAGCATTTATTGCGATAACCCCTCTCCGCTGGGACAGAATGCCTTCACCATGAACAAGGTAAGCTAGAGCATAGACTTTCGGCCAAGGTGACAGGTCAGAAGGGACAACGAAATGTTTACCAGAGGATACAAGCAAACGTCGAGAACAAGAAGAAGGTTAAGCTTTTCTATCTCTAATTCATCTCTACATTCTTCTTTTCTCTCTAACTTGCTCGTCGGAGGGTTCGCTGGGGGACTCCCCGTTCCCCGTTGGACTTTTGTGCAGGTCTTCTAGTGGGCTTGGTCATTCGGACATAGGCTTGAGGGGCGTGGATAAGTCCGACCCGTTCCGTCTGGAACCCGCTGTATCATCAATTCTCATTTCTCAATAATTCTTTCTCAATGTAAGTTTCAAATCCAAATTCAATATTTGTAACACGCAATATATTAAAATGCCAATGCCATGGTTATCCATGCAATGCAACAATTAACCATGCCGTGTAGTGATTACTCATGCGGTGTATTATCCAACCATTTACATAATTTCCCCATAATTATCCCATTTGCGATCACAATTTTCCACTTCCTTTTTCAAATACATTTGACATGTATAACTCACGAACTTTTACATTTATCCAAGTGTTACAACACTTCCACATCTCATATGGTCTCAACATTTTGTCATTTCAAGATTTATATACATATCTACATAAACAATAGATTCCAAGGAAATTTACTAATTTCGCATATACTAAGAAGTTTGACAATTTACATCTAATGTCATGAAATCTCCATTGGAACATTCATTTAACACAAATGAACATTCATTTAACACAAATAGAATCATAGTTTTCTCAACATCCAACAAAACCCCCAAATTTCTAGGTTTTTCACCCAAACAACGCACTTCTTTATTTCTTGGTAAAATATCACCAAAAACATCATTTTTATGACAATGTGCTTCAACTTTTCAAGAAAATCTTTCAAAGAAACAAAAAATGGATTTTTTCTGCAAAACTACAAATTTCTTGAGCTAAACCAATACCTTTTTATAATGTCTTTAAGAAAACTCCAAAATCACATCAACCTTGCATAAACATGTATATATAACTCAAAGAAATCCCTACCTCAAACTTGATGACGCTAGAATCAAAAGTTGGAGAAATTCGATCTTCACCGCACAAAGTGAAGTCCTCACTTTGCTCTCCAAATTTAGTGAAAGGTGATGGATCAAAATCCCATAGATGACAAGAAATCAAGGTTTTTGGGTGTTTGGTAGAGGTTTTTAGAGAGAATGAGGAGCAAAATGCTTTTTAGAGTGAGAAGGAAATGTTAAAAAGTGATATACATTTAGCCCAAAAGAGAAAAAAAAAAAACAGAGTTTTTGGACTCAGCCCACCCGCACGTGCGGGGTACAGAGCCTGCTTCCCGTATGTGCGGCCCTCACCTCCGCACATGCTGCTCTCCCAAACCGCACCACATCCCGCACCTGCATATAATGCAGCATGCAAGCCAAAATTCCTCAAATTCCCACACGTGCGGCCCAAGGCCCCGAACATGCGGCCTTGGTCCTCCAGCCCAGAATTTTCTCGGCTCCGTCCCTAGCACTCCGGACCGAACCCTTACCCTCTGAAACAAGTGAAACTTGGAATAGCAACAATACGAAGGAAATTTTTTGAAATGGAGTTTTCAAAACAACAATCCAACAGTCAAACCAAAATCTTACTCTAAAATCCAATGCTATAACGATAGTAAACCGAGGTTAAACAAAGATGAATAAATGAATAACATGACCGGTCATCACAAGATCTAAACTTGAAAATTAATTTAATAAAGGGTTTCTAATCATTGTTTCTAAAATATTTATCATAATCTGTCAATTATAAAAATAGAAATTACTATTATCAAATTAAAATCTAAGATAAATTTAAAGCTTTGTCTTAAAATATTCATGATAAGAAAAGTAGCTTAAAACTAAATACCTAGGGAAATATTGATGGGACTTGAGCACGTTGCAGGTTAGCTAAGATTAGCTGTCACCTTTATACGTCTCGGCATTTTCTTCGGCTTTCTTGGTACCTAACATAATACGTCATGAGTTGCAAAACCGAATAGGATTTTTTGGTAGAGCATAAAATGTTGGGGAGGTATTTATGGCCAAGAGCAATAACCTTCGACTGATTTAGTTTGAAAACTTTAGAAAGAAATGAGTTATCGCTACTACAAAAACAGTTAAAGATCACACTTTGACAAATGAAAATATCTCACTTTTATTGGAAGTGTGATAAAAAAAATTAAATTGATATTTTAATCACACTTGATTTGATTAAGTGTGATAATATTTATTTTTTATGTCGCTTTTCAATTAAGTGTGATTATATATATATATATATATATTAATCACACATTCTAATTAACATGTGATTGAAGATAACATAAGAAAAATTAAAAATATCTCACTTTTATTAGACGTGTGATTAAAAAAATTAAAATGATTTTTTAATCACACTTAATTTAATGAGTGAGATAATATTTTTTTTAATCACATATTTTAAATAAGTGTGATTATATATATTTATTTTCATCACAATTTCAAGTGTGATTACATATAATTTTTTAATTTAATTTTTATATAAAATAATTATTCCCATATTCGCGCCTCTTCTACACGATTGAGATGGCAACAACTCTTTGAAACACCCACCAAAATTGAATTTGCTAAATATGTACAGACACTACTATAATAATGTAAAAATCACACGAGAGAAATTTAAAATAGTTCACTTTTATTAGAAGTGTGACTAAAATAATTAGAATAATATTTTAATCCAATCAATTTAATTGAATGTGATAGTATTTATTTTTAATCACACTTTTATTAGAAGTGTGACTATATCTTTTTTCTAGTCATAGTTGCTAAATAAGTGTGACAGCATGTTTGGTTTCAGTTTTCTAAATTTAATTATTTGAAAATTGAGTTTTTTTTCGTGTTTTTTTTTTAGTGAATATTTTTAAAATTTTAAGTATTTTTTTACTTTTTTAGATGTACCTTACTTAAATATATCTAAATAATAAATTATTTGTGAAAAAATATTTAAAAAATTAATAAATACATTAACATACGAAAAATGTACTGAATTTATATATATATATATATATATATATTTGTATTTTTGATATTTAGTGAATTTTTTTAAAAAAAAATTTACTATAAATATTATATTTTCTAAGTATATTTATGTTAAATGTGTCTAAAACTTAGAAAAATCATTTAAAATATTAAAAAATTTTAATGAAAACAAAAAATAAAACAATAAATTTTTTTAAAAAATAAATTCAGAAAATTGAAAACAAACAGGTGGTGATTGTTTTTTTTTCCTTATCCATATAACAAAAGAAAACGGTTTTTGAAAATGCCTTAGATCCAATGGTCAGATTTACTCCAACTTTCAATATCCAGCCCAAACGTTTCTCCTCACTCTTCCTTCCTTTCAATAGTTTGAAACCATCCCAACTCCTCTCTCTCTCTCTCTCTCTCTCTCTCTCTGTGTGGAGATGAACTATCCCATGGCCAAGGAATATAATGTCCCTCCGGTGGAAACACCTGCAGCGTTTGTAACAGCGGCGGCTTTCAACGGTACCGTTCCAGTTGCCATAGTCCGCAAACCCTAGCATCCCATTCATGTCCCTCGACGTCGTTCTTGGCTCCGCAATTCGGTGGTAATATTTCGGGAATCGAAACCGGGTTGGAGAACAAACCACCTCTACTCAAAAAGTTAGGAATCAATCCGAGACAAATTTGGAGCAAAACTGTATTGATTGTGAACCCGTTTAGAGTGAACACGAATCTACAAGAATATACTAATTTGTCAGGTATGTTTCTCTTCGTGATGGCTTTTGGGTTGTTTCAATTGCTTGCTTGGAAGCTACATTTTGGGATTTTATTGGGTTGGGCCACTGTTTCAGCTTTGTTTCTTTACGTTGTGTTCAATGAAGTATTGGGATTATGTGTGTTTTGATGTTTGTGCTTTTAGTTACAATAACTATGTGTGCACAAATGTTTATTTTCTGTGGATTTTGATATCTTTTAGGCTGTGATTGAATCATGGATTTGGATAGTAATTTGGATTTCCGTTTCTCTTTTTATATCCCTATCCAAATCTATGATGCAAACACATCAATAAGAATTAAACATAAATGTATACAAAACCTTACATCTTTAATTAATTTAAACTATATGACAATATATACATCATATGTGAGATTGTCTTGCCCTATGCCAAGTTTCATTGGAGAAAAACTTTTTTTTTTTTTTTTTTTTTTGTTATTAGAGAAAAACATGCAGTGGATCTTAAATGACACTAGCAATAGATAAATTTTTTTTTTTTTTTTTTTGAAGTTATTAGAGAAAAACATGCAGTGGATCTTAAATGACACTAGCAATAGATCTTTGTATTTATGGTTTCTTTTTCTTTTTGAATTTCCCCCCTTGACATATATTGGTAGTAAAACGGTGGCTTATTTGTGCGTCATGGTTGGCTATTCATTGACCTGACAATCTGTAAATCTATATAGTTTGTCATTGTAGTCTATTTGTTGTTGCAGTCTGTGTGCTTAAATTTTTTCCAATACAAATTTAGATTCATAATAAAATAAAATAAAAAGTTTCATGGTTGCTTGAAGACCTATCTATGTATTGATTTTGGTTGATCAACTGATTTTAGCTTGAGTTATTGATTGTCACTGGTATGCTAGGGGACATATCTGAGCATTTAAGAGGCCTTTGTGGAAATACCTACGAGTAGCATTGATGTGTCATTATTGGGGGCTAATTAGAAATATTGTTTTTAGTAACACGCATAAATTGCTGTACTATTTTGTTTATTATTATGAGGAAAATTCCATATTAATTTGACTATCAATATCATTCTTACATGGATCTTTCCCTGATTAATGGTTAATTATACCCATATGACATGGATGAGTGTTGTAAATTGGTGCTAACATTTACCCACAAATAGGGCGTATATCTTTCCTTGGTGTGATGTCTTCCTTTATATCTTTAGTCATGTTATGTTTCACTAGGATTGTGTTATGCATGGATTTTTGAATGGTGGAGTCTGAGTACGTTCTCTTTCATGTCTTTTATTTTTTTTCCTTGGCCAATATTTATTTTCATTCTTCCTTTCCTTTCCTTTCCTTTCCTTGGTGCATGTTTTCATTTGATTGTTGTTTTGGGCCTTGAGCAAAAGAACCCGAAGTTCGCAAGGCAATGATTAGACATTCTTCTGATTATCTACCTTCCATGCATTTAGATCTTTCTTGTTGGGTGCATGAAATTTTTGCTCTTTGTAAGTGACATCGGCAATTAAGGTTTTGTTATTCTTGCTAAATCTTTGACTTTTTAGTGTTATGGGTTCACTAAGAGACATCGACCATCACATTTTAACTGTGTCTACAAGCTATGTTACTCTATCCTTGAAATTTTGAACAACAGAGGCTTTGTACCAGCCCTTTTCTTCTTGTTCTTCTTTTCCTTTTTAAATACTAAATTAAGTTAGTCGTGCTTACCAGTTCTATTTACTAATTGGCATTGTCAAATAGCACGGTTCATACATTGTCATACTGCATGCCCATAAGAATCTTTATATAGAAAGAAGAGCATTGTGAATAACGCTGATTTTCTTTTTCTTTTTCTTTTCCAATAGAAATAATGCTAATTTGATTTCTTTTGAGCGGATGACCTAATGTGTTCTCATGTTAACTTCCCTCATATGCTAGGTCCCCTAGATTTCTAGCTTTTGGTGTAGCTTTCCTCAAACTCGTGGAGTCCAACTAATCAACTTGCCTATATGAGGCAAACTAGGTTGCTAAATCTGCTGTATTTTGCATGTTAGTATTTTCACAAGCAAGCCAAACTAGCAGCATGTACTTCCCAGCACAGTCAGGACGATCATTTTTAAGTGGCATCTCATATTATGCATTTGGCTAATTAGAGGCGCATGGAGTCAGTAACATGTACAATGACTTTTAAGGTTTAACCCTCAATTGGTGAATGGGTTGTGTCAGTTATTGGGTGACCATTAAATGGTGCAATAATTAGTTACTTTGGAACATGAGCAACTAGTACTCTTTGTTGTATAAAGTTTTGGTAGTAATTAAGGGAATAATTTCTAGTGTTCATTATGTCAGTTTTGATATTTGTGCCTTTAGTTACAATAACTATTATGTGTGCACAAATGTTTATTTTTCTGTGGATTTTGATATCTTTTAGGCTGTGATTAAATCATGGATTTGGGTACTAATTTGGATTTCCCTTTCTCTTTTAAATCTCTATCCAAATCTATGATCCAAACACTTCAACAAGAATTAATCATAAATGTATACAAAACCTTAAATCCTTAATTAATTTAAATTATATGACAATATATACATCATATGTGAGATTGTCTTGCCCCATGCCAAGTTTCATTGGAGCTGTTTAATCCTCAATTAATTGAAATTTGGAACCCCATTTTCTATCTTTTTGATTTCTATACATGTTTTGGATCTTCGTATTTGTTCCTGATTGTTTTGAGTGAGAGAGAGAGAGAGAGAGAGGTTAAAGATTAAAAGGAAAAAAATTGAAGCTTGCCAGGAACATAGTATGTTCTGGTTTTTTTCAAACCCTAAAGCGTTTTTTTGTTTTTATTTTCTTTATTTTTTCAAAGGAGAAATTTTTCTATAGTTTTGTGTTTATGAATGGACACAGATTTTATTTTTTATTTTTTATTTTTAATCTTGGGCTGGTTATTGATTTGAATTACATGCATGTGCCTATGCTGATGATGAGCTCAAGACCTGGGACACTGAGTTGGTTATTATTTAGGGTTATTGAGAAAATGTGAGAAAGAATAAAAACAAATTGAGGCTTTGAGATCACTGAACTTCTGAATGTGGTGTTTATGCATGAAGGTGTAGTTTTGCTTTGATCTTTTTTTTCCCATCAGTTCTCTTGGAAGCTAAATGAGGTTAAATAGAATTAAGAGATCTCGAAATTTTAAAAAGCTTACTGTAGGTTCTACATTCTTTTGGTAGATTACATATGGTACTGTACTTAAGTTGATGCATGAGAAAACAAAGGTCCAGCTGCATTCACATGAGGTTCCATATGGATCTGGAATTAGGCAGCAGTCGGTTACAGGTTTTTCTGTTGTTGATGATTCAAATAGTTACTGGGTACTCTCTATATCTCTTTCTCATTTTCAAGGCAAGGTCACGATTCTCACGACCTCCACTCAGGGAATCGGCTCCAGCATCGCCGAGCATCTCGGCTTCGCAAACAAGTTCATTTTTATTTTTGTCCCAATCTTTTTAGTCTTCTTTTTTAGGATATTAAAACCTCAATTTATCTGGGTTTATTGATTTTTTCTCAAATTTTTCTAGGTCTGTGCCCTTCAATCTTAAAACATCAATTTCTCAATATCTTTTTCATACTTTGATTTTGAGTTGAGTTCATTTTGTGTGCTAGGTTTTGATTATTCTGCAGAAAAATGTAGATAAGGCTGTGGAGAAGCTTAAATCAAGAGGAATTGAAGTGTTTGAAGTGGTTTGTCATGTGTCTGTAGTTCAACAAAGGAAGAATATGGTAGAAAGACTGTTCAGGTGAGCAAACCCATCTTATTTGTTATCTTCTGAGAGTAGCTAAACAAAGGGGAAAATGGAAACCTGGGCTTTGATTTTTCTTGAGTATTTGTATTTTTATCTTTAAGTTAATTGATTTTGAAATTCATGACTTAATTGGTTTGAATTTTTAGTATCATATTGTTCAAGCTTTAATTAATCTCATTAGCAAAAGCCTTTGTATTTTCTTATAATTCTCTTATTGGTTGTTGAGAGTTTCATCGTTTTATGTTAGTTTAACTGGATATCTTTATGTATTCAAATTCAAATTATTAGTTACTAAATTTGATATTTTAAATTGAAGTGGGTCATAATTTATAGATGAAAATGGGTTAGAGAGAGATGAAAATTGATGAACCATTATGAGATACAGAGAAGTTAGTTTCTAATTGCTAAACTATTTGGCGAAAATTGATGAAAATTGTTGAACCATTTGGCTAGATGACTTGTTTTTTTAGAGAAAGAAACAGAAAGGCAGAGCTTTAATTTCTATGTTGTTTAATTTGTTATAAATATTCACTCAGTTTGTTATCCTACCATACAACATAACATGTCATGTATAGGATACAAAACAATATACATACTATCAACCATGCTTCCATAGGAATTTAATTTAATATTCACTCAGTTTGTTATCCTTTCTATTGCTATGCTTTTCTTAATGTGGACACTAATACATGTTTAGGAATGTAGGATTAGGTGTAATATGAGTTTTGCCATAGACTACGAGATTTGTCATGTCATCAAAAAATAAGAAATTTTTTTACCATACTTGTCATGCCCATCAGTTTCGGCATGGACTACCAAATTTGTTCCTGCATATGGGAGATTTTTTTCCCCTGCATGTGGATAAGTGGATATAGACCCATGGGCACAACAAGATGGATGATTTGATGCTCATGGATTTTCTTTGTTATGTTTCATTTTTTTATTGGTTTAAATGCATATGTAATTTCTAAAGAAGAGGCAAATTTTGCTTCTTAATTAATTTGTATTTTTATTTTTCAGGTTAGAAATTATTTGGAGAGATGCAAAATATGATCAAAAAACTTAAAGACTTTGTGCTTTAAGTTTTTTCATTTTTTTAATGTGTAATCACAGTTAATTTTTTTATTATTAATTTCTTTGTATATATTTTTGAACATTCAACTTTTATTTTTGAAATATGTGACGTTATTCCATTCAATATATAGTTATGATTCAAAAGACAGTATATATATTGTGTATTATATTCTTCAAATGCGTACAAAAATAATATTGATTATTCTTCAAATATGTCGAACCCTTTTTTTTTTTATCACACGTACTAACTGTGATGAGAAATGTTGTAATGACTCGGATTTTAATTCTTATTGGATTGATGTAAAGTGGTGTCCGTCACCTTAAAACTTGTATGGTTGTTGGACTCTTGATATTGATGGGTTGGCAAGTGAACTTTAAATATTATAATTGAGGACCCTTGGGTGATGTTTGGAACCTTGATTGAAGCCTTAATAAGGTATTTAGATAAGATTAGATAAAAAGTCCCAAATTTGAGTTTGAGTTTTTAACTAGCCGTCACTCTTTTGCTCTTTTCTCCTTCCATACTTTGAATTTGAATGTGAGGCAGGAACCATTGGAAAGCTTGTTTCCGGGGCTTCAATTTGGACACAAGAACAACCTAAAACGGAGTTCGAACGAGAGAGTTACACCTGTTTGAATTTTGAGTTTCTATGCTGGAAGCATGTTCGCTCGAGCAAGCTTTTCTTCGTTCGAGCGAACTGTGCGAATTCAACAAGTTTAAAGGCACTTTTTTAGATCATTCCTCACACTGTCCTCTCCTCTCTTCATCCCTCTCACCCTAGGTCCGAAAACTTTAGAGATTTCGGCCCAAACACTTCCAATTTCTCAAAGATTTGGCCAAGATCCCTTGCAAAAATGTGAAGAAGGTTTGAAGATCTCACTTTTCAACCGATTGAAATTCGGATTGGTGAAGGATTCTTCTCAAATCTTGCTCTTCTTGCTTGATTCTTGAGGTAGGGGTTCTAGTTCTCTTCAATACTTACATTAATAGATAAATTTGTGGTATTTTCATTATATAAATGCAAAATCTCCATTTTTGAGCATATAGAGTAAATCATGAGATTTGGGGGTTTAGGGTTTGAGATGTTGGGGGTTCAATTGTTGGGTTAAGATGATGGATTATGAACCTTAGGTATGAAATCAATGGGAAAATTTGTAACGTCCTCAAAATAAACCCATAAATCATACATTCATGACATACATAAACTTAAAAGAATAAAGCATACTGTCATTCATCAGAGAATTCTTACAAAAGATATTACATGTTGACAACAAAAGTAAATGCCCTATAGGCTTATAACTTTCCAAGTCAACACTTGGGTTCAACAAAAGTAGAGTTCTAACTCTTTACACAAAATAAGTCCATGGCTTGATATACATGTAATATACAAAAGAGAATAACAAAAAGAGCTATCAGCCTCAAGCCTCCCAAGCTACATCTTTGGAGGTGACATATCACCTGAACCTGAAAATGATGTCCCATATAGGGTGAGCCAACGCCCAGTAGAGATATGCTAAACATAATATGCGCAATAACTAAAACATTAGCATTTGATAAATGTTTAACTCATATAAACCAACGTACAACACAATCCAATTCCATGACAAATATCTTCATGTTTCATTCCATTTTCGTTTACTTAACAATTTCGATTTGAAAACATGACTCAGAACCTGGCCAAACAATTCCCATGGAACTACGGCTCATATTAAAAACCTTTCCAATATCAAAAATTTAGATGAGAATATAACTCATAATAAAACACTTCTATACTTCACAATTCATATGAGATAACAACTCATATTCAAAACACTTCCATACTTCACAAATGATACACAAATTTGCTGTATCAATGGAGTCCATCCCCTATCTCCTCCCAAATAATATCCGGTTTGGGAGTCTATCCCTTATCTCCTCCCAAACCATGGAGTACATTCCCGATCTCTTCCTACACAATACCATGTATATAAACAATTATCATATACATGATCAATCAATATACATATTCGATGTATTATTCCAACTGTCATATTCATTGACATATTCAATCGATTAGTTTTAATTCACCTAATCATCATGCAGTGTTTATAACAATCAAGACTATCCTCCACCGATAGCCCAGAGCAATTATTTCTAAATAGAAGATAAATGCATCAACAGATAAATTATCAATATTTTCAAAAGTGAGCGATTTATAAATCCAACTCCACCATTCAATCTCATATTACGCCAATTTCATCATTTCCAATGAAAGTCATTAATTACACCAATGACCCAATAAAAGCCCAAATATGGCATATTCCCCATTTTTCCCAATATTGACCCAATAGTCCAAATATCAGCAATTAACATCACTAATCTCATTTTAAGACCCAAAATACACATGTATGGGTTAAAATAACAAAACTCCTTTTTTCAATATTCCAAATCTCAAACCCTAACTTCCCAAATCAAACTATTTATTCAAAATACCCAATATCTATGTTAAAGATCATAAAAATGAGTAGTTATCCCTACCTCAAGAGATGAAACCAAGTGGAGAAGATGAAGAAATTCGAAATGCTCCAAACCCAAGGATTATCGGATTGATAGGTAGCCCACACCAAGCTCTACACTTTATATAAAGGAACTAAGGTAGATGATCACTAGAAATAGATCAAACCTTAGAGAGAAGTTGTATTCTAGAGAAAGGTGCTCTCCAATGGAGGTTTTGAAAAGTAAGAGAGAGAAAGAATGTTGAAAAGTGATCCAAAAAAGTGGAATCCCGAAGTGATATAAAAACAGGTCCGCTCAAGGGTGGAACTCCCCGCTCGAGCGTAAGATACAGACTCACGCTCAAGCGTCAAAAGCGCCGCTCGAGCACCGGATGCTCACCTCTAGAAGTTTTTCAATCGATGGTCCCCGCTCGAGTGTGAAAGTGGGCGCTCAAGTGTCCAATGACCTGTGGGACAAAATACTGAGAGATGAATAATCATGCTCGAGCGTCAAAACGCCCGCTCGAGCGGAGAAGCAACAACAAAGGGCCCGCTCGAGCTTCAAAATCCCCGCTCGAGCGTAAGGGCCAAAATCTGGGCATCAACTTTTGGTTTCTAAACACAACCAACCTGTTCCAAACCTGTCCAACACAACCTAAGACTCAAATACAAAGAGTAAAGGATGAAAATGAGAATAAGACAACACAACCACGGAACTAAGTCCGGAATACAATAAACAAAGAAAGGGAAAATCAGGATCGCTATAAAATTGGAATAAAAAGTAATGGTTTGAGAAGTTTGAAATTTTATTGAAATTCTTGATTTTTCTTGAAAACCCTAGGTTGATCCATGATGATAATCAATGATTTTGCCCAAATTGAAAGTAGAATCATGAAATTGAGCTATTGAATTATATATATACAAGTTTAATTGAAGTTTGGAGATGTGCGAAAATTATGTTAAAAATTAGCAAATGAACCTTGTTATGGGCATTGTAAATCATATTATAATATGAAATGAAATTGGGAGGAAAAGATTTGTTGATAATGTGGATGATATAAACTTGGCTATGGAATGTTGAAATAAGATCAAAGGATTTACCTTGAATTATATTTAGTGGCATTGAATTGAATTATGTTGAATTGTGTTGAGTATGTTGAGTTGTGTTAAAAAATGTTGAATTGAATCGTGTTGAACTATGATGAAATGTGTTTGAATCATGTGAATTGTGTTGAGTTGAGTTGTGTGGGTGTATTGAGTTTGGATTGAGTTGTGTTGAGTTTGAATTGGGTTGTGTTGGGTTGCGTTGAGTTTGAGTTATGTTGTGTTGGGTGTGTGAAGTTTGGGTTGAGCTGTGTTGGGTGGTGTTGTGTTGGTACCCTCGCGGGAGTTGAAAAATAGTTTTAAAAATTGAAGAAAAATGTTTTTGGGGGCCCATGTCCCGCCGTATAGTAGCCGGCAAATGTGGGGGTGATTTTAGATTGAAGATGCCCAATTGCCCTGTCTAGGTTTATCGTTGAACGAATGTGGGAAAATGATTTTTGGGTGTCCACATAGTCCTGCCATATAGTAGCCGGCGAAAGTGGAAAATGATTTTTGGGTGTCCACACATTTCTGCCGTATTGTAGTCAGCAAAAGTTGAAAAACAGATGGTTTTTCGAAAATGTTTTGGGTGCCCATATCCAGCCATATAGTAGCCGGCTAATGTGGGGGATGGTTTTTAAAAGTTGAAAATGGTTTTGAAAAAATATGGTTTTTGGAAGAAAATGGCTTTTGAGAAAAAGGTGTTTGGGAGTTCACTTCCCGCCGTATAGTAGCTGGCGAAAGGTGAAAAGTGTTATGGATTGAGTGCCCGCTATCCCACCGTAGTAAGTCGGCAAAAGGTGGATTATGTTGATATATGTGTTAAGTTGATAATGCTATTCGTGACATGTGATGAATTTGTGAAATTGTAAATCGATGTGCATATTGATATAAAGAGGAAATGTATATAGACATTGGTAATGGTGAACTTAATGAATTAGCGGTGACAATAAAAGTAACTTACGAGCGTTGTTCTATAACTAAATGAAAGACTGAATTGAAAGGGGGTGTATTAATCTTGTATTATCTTGAATTGAAATTTCGAGAGTGTAAATAACGGAGTGATTTGGCTATAGGAGAATTGTTAATAAATTAAAAAGGGGACTTGAACTTGAATTTATGGAATTCTAAATAAATATAATGAGTAGAATGGAAGAATGAAAGAAAAAGAGAAACATTAAAAATGGGAATTAAACAAGAAATATTTTGGGAATTGGTTAATAACTTTTAAATGATATAGTTTCTTAAATATGTTTGTTTCACATGGAACTATGGTTTTCCAAAGTTAACGGATGATTTTAACGGTTGAAGGTTTTCTTAAAAGTATTTAAATAGTTTTGAGGAAAAGGTGCTTTAGTTATGATATTTTGAAATTTTAAAATGTCATCCTACTATATGGTATCACCCTGCATGCATGATCATTTCTATCTACGTGTTGGCTATTGACTTAGAACTATGAGACTCCTACTGGGTATTAGTGCTCACCCCTATTGTTTTTATCTTTTTACAGGAAAAAAGTGTGGAATCTGTGATTAAAGAGATAAGAAGTCCAAGTGTCGTTTATTTGTAATTTCATTGTAGATGTAATGGAACTTGTAACTGTATTATATTTAATTGTAACATCTCAGTAGGAGATTGGCATGTATCTTTGTTAGTATTGTATTCATTGAGAGAGAGAGAATATGTATCACTGTATTTCTATTACTCAAGGGTAATGGATGTTATTTTTTAAAAAAAAAAGAAAAAAAAATAGACATAAATTAAAGGCTTTGGTAATGTTTCCGAGTAATTAAAATTTGGGGCGTGACAAATGCATATAACGTGTTATC